TTTTTTTTTTTTTTTTTTTTTTTTCCTTCTGATGTGTGTAGTTTATGTTTATATCTGTAGATGAAGGAACTTCGCCGGCCTTGCTGTGATATTATGTCCACTTCTGATGAAACGATGACTGTCCAAATTAGGAAATGTGGGATCTATGAACTTGTTGCTATGCAGGATAAAATTTGAATCTTTGAATAGTGAGTGTTCTATCCATTGGATTCGATATCGTGGATCCTCTTGACTGACAAGATAGCTTTTCCATGATATATGATATCATTGTAAGTTTCACAAGCAAGTCCACTATTATCGGTAAGTTTATTCAGATTCAAAATTACGATTTTCTGATAAGCATACAAGTTTTGTTATTGGAGTGTAAGCAAAATTAATCTATGGTCACCAAAAAGCTCTTCTATATTTCATCAATTGCTGATTTCAGTACAAGATTGTCTCGCCAGCTATTTTTCTTGTAGTGTTATAACTTATAATTGCCAGTTTGTTTGAATTTTTTTATTGTCTACTTCGGCAGCAAAGTGCTTAATAAAAGTTTGCATAATTGTCTCATATGGGTGTGTTCTGTTAAACCTTGGATATTATAGCTGTGGAGCTTATAATTTCACTACCTTCTTCTTTTTGATTCGTTTGGATCAAATAAGCTCTTATCAAACATAAGTCTTAACAGGACACGTGTATATTTCGATTTTTTCTAATCCGAGTGTCTGTACTTTATAAACAAGTTGCTTCTAGTGGTTTTCTATGCCATTGAGGTCTGGAAATTTTTGTCAGGATTGCTGATCGAGGCTGTTGAGCTGCCGCAAACAATTCTTCAATTATGGATTAGCTGTCTTTATTTCTGGATATGTAAGAAAACGCTGTATCCATTTCCAGGGGAAGATCGTTGCCTCTGAACCGATCATTCTTACAAGTAAGTTTATTGCCAAGGACACGAAGTCCGATGGTTTTTGCTCAGCTGGCACGAAACCAACTTACTTTCGGCTGAAAAATCCCGAGCATGCTTTCGGAGCAAAAACAGTATGCAATATTTAGAACAGAAAATGATGTCTACTTCATGGACCATTACAACTTGTTGCTCAGTTTCTGGAATTGATTTTGATGTTCTTTTGTGGTGCAGTTTTGTAAGACCCTACAAACAAACAAATGTAGGGGTTTATTTTCTAATTTTAGAAGTCAACAGATTTCTTGTAATTACACTAAACCCTGGGGGTTGTTCTTGCAATTATTCCTATTATATTTAATTGCATTTTTCTATAAGTTCTTTGAGTAACATCTCAGGAATGTCTATTATCATAGTCAGGTTGACTGCGAAATTCCCCGACTTTACAGGTGGCCCTTGAAGCTGGCAACAAAGCTGCAGCCAATAATTATTTTATAATCTCCAAGATGGAAAATCCTTGCATGCTGGTGAGTGCATTGCTTTTATCGAGTTTTTTACCGTTTGATCAAAACACATCAAAATAGGGATTCGGTTTGGCATGAGAGCATTGCCGTTGTCGAATTTTTACCGTTGGATCAAAATACATCTACATATATTTTGGCTAGATCCATACAAAGTTCCTTCAAAGCAAAGCCTATTCACAACCCATTATTATGAAACCAAATTCAAGTGGGAAAAAAGTTCCTTGAAAAGATAAAGTCTCACGTTTTCTTCCTAGGTGGAGTTGTGTTTTTAACTTTTATCCTCACTTAATGAACCTTCCTTTCCCCTGTCCAAGAAGATTGTCACATTTTCTTGTAAAACCAAAAATAAAAAAATAAAAAAAATGCAAATTCTCCACGTACCCTTCAAACTCAACAGCCTTATGCTCTTCATGCTACTCTCATGCCTCCTGTGCATCACATCCCTCTTCATCTTCCCAAACACCACCCTAACAACCATGCGTCCCTCGGACACCCAATCGCCACCACCACCTCCCGAAACCTCCCTCGACCACCTCGTTTTCGGCATCGCCTCCAACGGCAAGTCGTGGCCCGACCGCAAAAGCTACGTCCGTCTCTGGTGGCGGCCCCATCTCACGAGAGGCTGCGTTTTTCTCGAGACGAACACCACCTCAACCGACCACCCGGACGGTGGGCTCCCTCCCGTGTGCATCTCGGGAGACACTTCCCGTTTCCGGTACACTTTCCGAAACGGGCTCCGCTCGGCCGTGCGCGTGGCCCGCATCGTGTCCGAGACCGTCGCCCTAAACCACCCGAACGTGCGGTGGTTTGTCTTCGGGGACGATGATACGATATTTTTTCCCGAGAATTTGGTGAGGACTCTGTCGAAGTACGATCACGGGTTGTGGTACTATGTGGGGTCGAATTCTGAGAGCTTCGCGCAGAATAAGGCTTTCTCGTTCGAGATGGCCTTTGGAGGGGCGGGTTTCGCGATAAGCTACCCGCTTGCAAAGGTGTTGGCTAAGGTTTTTGACTCCTGTTTGGAAAGGTATCCGCACTTGTACGGTAGCGACAGCCGAGTGCAGGCTTGTGTGGCCGAGTTGGGAGTCGGCTTAACGCACGAGCCCGGGTTTCATCAGGTATCGATTTTTTTTATCCTTTGCGTTTTTGCTAAACGCATTACATAGTAGTTAGAAAAGGTGTTGCGACGAACTTAGAGTATGTTTGGTAAGTTTAGCTGAAAAAGTTAGCTTATAAATGATAAGTTAGTTTTGAGCTTTTAGCTAACAACTTATTGACTTATTAAATTGTTTGGTAAAATTAACTGAAATAATGTTTTCAAGAGACTTTTATGTAAAGCTACATAAACAAGCTCTAGCCTATTTATAAAGCTCATCCACCTCAAATTAAGCTTATTTGAATATAAGAAGCTTATAAACTAACTAAATAAACTAAGAGTTAGCTTATAATGCTTACCAAACATACCAATTCGATGCTTTTTACTGTTTTTTTTTTTTTTCCAAATATTTTCATCCACACAATCAAGAACATTTTTCTTAAAAAAAAAACAAATATGAAACGAAAACTATATCATTAGATGGACATTCGGGGGAGCATGTTCGGTTTTCTTGCCGCGCACCCCCTCCGACCCCTCATCTCGCTCCACCACTCGGAGGCAATGGAGCCTATTTTCCCAAACACGACCCATCTCCGGGCCCTGGAACACTTATTTCGGGCCGTGAAAGTCGACTCGCAGAGGGTCGCTCAGCAAACGGTATGCTACGACCGTTGGTTCTCGTGGACTATTTCCGTTTCGTGGGGCTACGCTGTTCAGATTTTCCCGCGCCACGTGTCGTTGCCCGATGCCCTCAGGACCCAGGAAACGTACGTTCCTTGGAAAAGAGGAGGCTTAAACCACTTGTACAATGTGGACACATTGGGGTATCACGCGGACCCGTGCCGGAGGCCCGTCGTGTTTTTCATGCACGACGTATCGACGTCTGGCGAATTAGATGGAACGATAACGAGTGTTTATAGAATGGTGGGATCGGAGAATTGTACGGTCGACCGGGCCTCGCCCAGAAAGCTTGAGGAGGTTCGAGTCTTTTCACATCGGATGGAGCTTGACATCAAACAGGTACTTTTGTCATAAATTGACATGTAGATGTTTTTTGGAGTATTATTTAAACTATTAGACAGTCAATTATTTACCAAACACTGAATCAATTAGCTAATCTAATATTTTTGTAGTCGAAGTTACTAACTCAATCAGTTATTCGCTGTCAACTATTCTACTCAATTATCAGTTATCCACTATATGCTAAGTGTGGCCAAAATCTATTCTACTAATCGCTATATTGACATTATAGGACTAGATAACATTACTATTATCATGCACCATATCATGAAAATCTGCACATTTTTTTATCATTATTCTTCTTGATTAAGTTTTCGTGTAAAAACATGCAGCTACAAGCACCGCGAAGACATTGTTGTGATGTTCTGCCTTCTAAAACCGAGACCGTGTTGGAAATCGCCGTCCGAGAATGTGGTAATGAAGAGTTGATATATATGCATTGACTCTGTTGCATATGTATGAAAATCTCTGCTTCGTTCGGCTTAAAATGTAGTTTCAATCGACTGGTAACTAGTAGTTCTTGAAGAGAGTTTAGGCTTATCACTAGAGATGTACCAAAAGCAAAGCAATGTGCCCTGTAAGTTTTTGAGTTTTATAATTCTTGGTTTAATTTGCTTGGGAAGATTATTTTTAAAAATGGATGGGCTGTATAAATATGGCCCAAGATAGATATGAAGTAGCCCACTTGTAATTTGTTTGGACTATTTGCTTTACAAGGCATTCCAACAATTTGGGCATCTACTGGGCTTCATTAATATGAGATCCTGTTTTCCATCTTCCTTGAATTATGAGTGTTCATTAAAATAATTATACTAAAAAATAATGCTGTAATGTGTTCATTCAAAAATTTCACAAATTAAACTAAATTGCTTTTATCCAATACAGGTAGTTGTAATGTTACAGTACAATATATGAGTGTTCATTCAAATAATTATACCTAAAAATCTTAAAAAATTAATAATATAAATGTGTAAGAAATTTAATATTTTAAATTATATTATTACTTCTATTTAAAATAACATTGGTCATTTGGATATTCTATTATACAATATTTCTAAGTCATATGGTACAATATCGTTGAATGATAAATTTATTATTTTTCAATTGCTATTTATAAATAATTTATTTTTTATATAATATAATTATATATATACATACAGTATTGACATCAAATCAAATATCGCCAAAATATGACTTTTTAATATATAAAAAAAATAATAATAACAAATAAAAAATGTTTTAAGTATTTAAAAGTAGCCAGAATTTTACACTTTACACTGATGTTTAAAAAAAATTATATTTAAAAAATTTTAAAAAAAATAAAATTACAAATCTTTAAACATGCATTTAAAATTTATATTTGTAAGGATATAGTTTTTATATCGAATATGGATGCCAAATGGGAAATTACCAAAGGACGACTATTGGTATATATATTGATAGGTAATATAATCATATGTAGACCCTTGCGAGTCGAACCAGCTGATTCAGAGTTAGAAACCCGATCTCACATGTTGGATCGACCCAACACGTCATGACATCGAGGTCTCACGCTCGAGGATCGATGTCGGGCCTTCTAAGCTCAACCCTATGCCCAAACAGGCTAAGACCAGCGCGTAGTGTTAATCCCTAGATTTCCATACAGTAGATAAAATGTCTATAAATACCGTAAGCAAACTGCATGACATGAGACATTTTAATTCTCAATAACTACAATATCACTATTCATCATCTTTCTCTCCCAAATTCTAACTGGAACGTCGGAGGCCCTTTTGCAGGCACTCCATCCAAAAAACCGATGTAGGAGGCTCTCACTACAAGTAAATGATGAAATTCCAACGGAAATCTATTCCAAAAGAAATATTCCAACGGCAATTCCAATGGATATTAAAATACTATTATTTCCGTTATAATTTTTCAATGGACTCTAACGGAAATTCCAACAAAAATATTCTGTTGGAATGGATTTTTTATTGGAATTTTCGATGAATTTTGACGATTCCAACGGTGGATTTTTCAGTGGGAGCGGAAATAAAAATTCCAACGGAATTTGCATATTCCAAACGGAAATTTTTACGATAAAAAGCCGTTGAAAATATAGCCGTTGGAATCATCAAGTTTCATCTAATATTCCAATGAAAAACACATTCCAACAGAATATTTTCGCTTGAATTTCCGTTGGAACCATTCCAACCAAAGCTATACCATTGGAATATCTGTTGGAATTTCAATTGGAATATGTTACTATAGGATTTTCCGTTGAAATATAACAATTTTTTTGTAGTGTACACCTCTGGACCGGAGTCACGTGCACGCACCGGATCTTATCATACATAAAATAATAATAAATAAAAAAAACTAAATTGTAGATATATCATACATAAAATAATGATAAATAAAAAAAAAATATTGAATTTTAAAATATATTTACAATTTAAGTTGTCAAAATCTATTATAATTTTGAAAGTTTTAGTGGGCATGGTAGAAGTCGAACTCTACTTTAATTGCCTTGAACCACCATAATTTGACAAAAAAAATTATGATATCGAACTCAAAAAAACTCTATATTTATATACGAGACATTAATTTTAGTAGAAAAAATATTACTCTCTTTTAATTTTATTATTTTGGACAACGTGAATCGATCCTGTGATCTACAATGTCAACATATTAACGCCGAACGCGTATGTCACCAATCATATCCCGATATCCGGACTCGGACTGACAACTAATATTTTTGTTTCCCCTTAGAAATTCATTGTCAACCAATATCCCCCTATATATATATATACATATATATATATATATATATTGACAGGGACTTTTCGGTTTTCGAATCCACAAGGGAACTGAATAATCTAGAATCGAGTCGGGTATGACCACAAGGGCGGCAAAGCTCTCCCTCAAGAGTTTTTGAACATTATATATAACTTTATGTTTTAGTATAAAAATTAAATCATTTATGAATAATCACTCTACTACAACAATATGAACTTCCACGTGTCAACCATACATATATATACCCCACCCCATTAATAAATACATCAAATTAACAAAGTATGTCTACGCTGTAACATGTACCAACTCAATACATTCAATTTGCTCCATAAACTAATAGTTACAGCTCAAATTCAATAATCAGTTGTTAATTAATGCCAAGAAAAAAAACAATCCAAATATTCCTCACAAACACCCTGTCATGTTGATATTAAGTAAAGTAATAAATAAATAAAACCCACCACAACACTTTCTCAATTCTATTTATATGTAGCATATATACTATGTTCTATGATAAGAACATAACAGCAAAAATGGCAGTGATAAAAACACTATCAATGTTTTTTTTTGCTAATTATTTAGCCATTTTCACGTACCTCAACTTGGCCATGGCCGCAAACTATACAGTCGGAGGCCCGAACGGCGGATGGGATCAATCCACCGACCTCGCGACTTGGGCTTCTTCAATAACCTTCTTAGAAGGAGACAATTTGCGTAAGTTATTTTCATTAATTATTAGGAAATGATATCATTACAGAATCATTCTGTCTGGATTTGTAACATTTAGATAATCATATAACATTCGTGGATAGTTGATCTAACAATTATCAACCCCAACGAAATAATTCCGTAACGTGACAGCAGAATCTCTCCTAATTATAAATTTCATTGTTTTCTTTCTCGAACATTTTAATGTACGGTTAAAAAGAGTACGCTGATGTCAATTCTTACCCGTAGTCTTCGAGTTCACCACGAACCACGACGTCACGGAAGTTTCCCGGTCGGACTTCGATTCCTGCAACCCAAATAACCCCTTGCAGCCGCCTTCCACCGGCGGCTCTGCCACCGTGGCCCTATCCTCCGCCGGCAGCCGCTACTTCATCTGCGGCACCCCTGGTCACTGCCTCAGCGGCATGAAACTCCAAGTCGACACCCACGCCGCTACCTCTCCGCCGCCGCAGGCGGCCACCCTGTCGGCCCCTTCGCCGGCGCCGGTTTCCTCTCCACCACCGAGAAGTCATGCCCCGTCGCCATCCCCAAAGCATTCGCACGGGCAGGCCGGCCGGCCCACGTCTCCGCCTGCAGCCTCACCTCCACCGAGCGACGGCTCTTTGCTGGCGCCCGCGGCGGCTCCGTCGGCGGCGGGGAGGTTCAGTGTGATGGGTGCTCTCACAGCATGTTCCGGTTTTTTTGCGATTATTGTGTTGTTGAATTTCTGAGATCCATCAATATTTCCCATATACAATGTATTTGTGAATTTATTCCTTTTTCCAAATTCATGACTAATATTTTGTGCTGTAATCAGTGTTTTAAAACACGTTAAACATTTATTTTGATTAAATATTAGATATATATTTGCATACAATAATTAAAATTAAATGATTGATTCTAAAAATTACCATAATCCTCCCTATATATAATTCCCGAATGCGTTGAGCCTACGTGGCTGCTTCTGGTGCTTCGGAATCCTATTTGGCAAAGAATCATGCTTCGTAATTAGTAGGTTTGGATAAATAATATTGATATATTAATAATTAATAATCTAGGTTCGGGTATTCCATAAATATTATTTAGCTAACTAAGGTATTTTAATATCACTTTTACTAATATAACCCTTTAATTCTTTGTAATTTTACATATTGAGGCACTAATTGACTAATATATCCATGAATTTTGATTTGTTTCATTCAATAAGCTATTGAATTATAAATGTATTTTAAAAGTTGATAACTTTTGTATTTCTTATCGGTTTTACATATATAATATATCAAATTAATCATCTTTTGATGATCTTCGATTTGACATCCATATTGTATATATGAAATAAATAAATTATATTTATCTTTATAATAATAAAAAATAATAATATTTATTAAAATTCATTAAAAAAATAAAATTATTTCTCAATTGATATATTTATATGTAATGTAGTTATATATTGTAAGTTAAAAAAAATTAGTATAATATAACACAAGTAAGTTGCACAAATAAAAAGTGTCATAATAAATATATAATAATATATATATTCTTATAAAAGGTGTTTAAATTTTCAAACTACTTTTTCTCATTAATTTTAGATTTTAAGAAAAAAAATTAGCAAGCACCCGTGTAATACACGAGTGTTGTACTAGTATTTGAATGAATTCAGAAATAACATATAAAAATTATTTCTCAAAAATGTTTAGTGCAAATCAACATATATATATATATATATATATATATATATATATATATATATATATGTATATATATAATTATGGGCAAACTTCATTTAATTTTATTCAACTTCAATTAATAATAATATGAGGTCATTTAATAAAAATAGGTTGCATTTAATAAAAATATGTTCACTATTTAATAATAATATGTAACTTTCAGTTACACAATTTATTTTGACATGTCATATTTTGGTTGGTCCCCATTTCTGTAACGCATTTTTATGTCATGAAATACAAAATATTTTTGTTTTTATTTTGATACTATATATGTTTTAGGTATTATATAAATACATATTTCACAACTAATTTAACCTTCTCCGAATTTCTATGACTTGACTGCGCTTCGTCAAGGAGGGGAGGCTCCCGGTCAACCAATCCCGCCCGTACACCAACCTGCTCTGGGATGACTACAAATATATTATTTTTTATTGCAGTCATACAATAATAAAAAATATTATTTCGGATATTACATGCAAAGATACATCAAATATTTTGAAAATCAAATCCCATAGTCACGAGTCAAAGAAATTTAACGATGAGGATTTGTTGTGATGAGGATTCTGACGATAATAAAATTACAATTGTTTTATATGAAGAAGTGTTTAATAAATTTTTAGATTAACTTTTTTAGATAATTTTTTTCATATTCATTAAGTTATGATTTTTTATTTTAATTCTATATTTTTAATTATTTTCTCTTCTATTATATTATTTTTCGTGCAAATGCACGGGGTAAAACTAGTATCTTAGTATGAATACTGACATAATAAAGCGAGTAGAAACAAACAATGAAATAATATAACTACATTTCAGTATCTTAGTATGTACATTTTAATTATTATTTTTAATTTAACTACAACTTAATTCTAGCCACTAAATCTATTTTTTTTATTATTTAATTTAAATGTCAATACCAGAAATTAAAATAATATAACAGAACTAGACCTATAAGTATTGTACTATTCAACTTAAGACTTTATATTTTCTAACTTTTAATTTGAAATCATTATCAAGATCTTTAATTTTAATTATCATTTGAAAATATGACTCTAATCCATAAAAATTGCAAGTTTACAATATTTTATTATTTAACTGCCGTTGAAGAAATATATCGTAACATAATATAAAATAGCGTTAAATAACGTAAAATAAAGCAAAATAACGTAAAAAAAGTAATTGTTATTTCAACATTTTGCATAAGATTAAAAAAAATGCTAAATATCAAATGTTACATCATGTTTTACTCAAAATTGCGCTACGCTTTGGTGGAACACTATTTAAAACACTTGTTGTAATCGAACCGAATGAGAAGAACTTGAGCATTTCAAGCTCATATTCAATTATGATAATTTATTATTCGAACGAAAGCTCATCTTGAACTTGTTTGTTTATTTGTACACAAAAGTTTGATAACAAAAGTTGATAATTTTTATATATATTTATAATTTAAATTAGTCAATTTTTTTGTTAATTTTAAATGTTTTAGTAGATATGGATAAAATTGAGATATACGTTGATTACTCTGCACCAAAATTTGACGCATACTATTGTGAAGCATCAAAATTCAATGCATAAGATTACGAAGCACCAATAATCAACCTATACGATCGAATACTTATGCATATATACATATTACAGTCTCTTCCGATTAGGCGATTAAGGAGTTCATTAATATGGGTGCTCAAGTTGGGCTTAAGGTGGGCTTGTATAGAGTGGTACTAGAGTTAGAGCCCATGTTGTTGATCCACAAACAAATTGCTAAATTTGGTACTTAATATTTTTATTGTATATTTTTGTTCTTGAGCCCAATAAAAGCTGCCAGCTTGTTATTAATTATAGGGATGCAACTAATTTTGTCTTTTGTAGTAAGTACTTTGATGCTAGAATTCGTAAGGCTATTAATTTGAGTCTCTATCTGCTTGTAATTAATTAAGTTACCAAATTTGAAGAGCTCAATGAAAATATCTGTACAATTTACTTCTGCTAGTTTTTGGCTCTTCAATATTTTTTGCCATTTTAACTTTTTGCAGTGTAATAATTGTATTGATATAGAATTGTTAAACGAAATAATAGTCAATTGCAAACTCGACTCGGAATGCTTAAAAATAATTCTTTTTTTTTCTCTCTAATATTATTATATAATTTTGTTCGTTAAGAATCGAATTCGGCTCGTTTAGACTTTTAATTCGATGCTATGCAAATTGACTCAGAAGGTGGCCATTTCAGCCCCAAAACTTTTTACTAATTATTCATATTGAAAATCAAGAAAAAACATGGGAATTGGGAAATTGTTTTTGGTTAACAATAGAGAACACACAAAACAATTTGAAATAAATTGTTTTTAATGTATTGTATATTTTTTTTTTTTTTTTGCCCAAATAAAATTTTGCACATATAATAGAAATCAAATAAGTGTAAATTTATCACAAATGATAACTTGGGAAAAAGAAAGATTTACTGAAAAAAGATAAGAAAAAT